TTGTCAGGAACACGAATGTCCATCCTCTTACCTGCATGGCCTGATGATGTCTGTCGAGCAGGTTGGCTATGGGTGTGTCCTGAGATCAACACCATGCACTTTTTCTTCTTTTGTTAAGCATTCCCCTTATTTTCTTTTCTTTTTTCCCCTGGGCTAAAGTAGTCAGTGTAACTCATTAGCCAAATTATAAAAATAAGATTTTTAAAGTGTGTATGTTTAAGTTGTGCCTCGTGAGAAATTGGCAGTTGGATATCCATCATTAGCCAGGTTTGCAGTTCTTCAGCTGCTGCCCAATCTTCCCAGAAATGCCAAGATGCCTGGCCCGCCTGGTTGTTTTTGTCACAGCGTGTGGCTCACAGCGCGTAATCACTGATGAGGCCAAGGTGGGGCTCATGTCAGAACTGTCCTCACCCCTTACCCAGAGCCACCAGGCCACGGCCAGCTCCTCGCCTGGGTGGTGTCGGGTGGAGGCAGTCATGATCTGATGTAACTTCACCTTTGAAAACCCTAACCTGGGCTGAGAAAATAATAGCTCTGAAGGGGTTCTTGCTGAGGGGTGTAGAAACCTGGCTTTTTATTCATTAGGAAAGAAGTGAAATAAAATAAAGAATGCTGAATAATTCACTGTCTCTTCATAACTCATTTTGTATTAGCTTCCCCTGAATAATTGAGAGAAACAGAAACCATGACATCCCGATCTCATTTTTCATGAACATCAAAGAAAAAGATTCTTTTTTCCCTTTTCTGTGTATAGGAACGATAGTGGCCTGTTTTGTGTTCAAAACAGTAGCTGTGTACAAATTCATGGGAAGACCAGTACTTATCTATAAAAATAAAAGCCTAATATCCTAATTAGATTGGACAACCTTCTGGACGAAGCCGGGGCTGTGAGGGAAGCCCGGGTCCCAGGTGCCAGAGGGAAGCCGGTGCCATCAGCCGGGGGAAGGAAGGCCTACTCTTGCACGAATTTCATGCATCGGGCCTCTAGTAAAATAATGAAAACTAGAGCATAGTGGTGGGAGCAAGAGATTTAAAAGGGCAGCACAGGCAAGTAGCCTGAGCCTGTTACCCTACGGTGAGGAGAGTCCTAGCCACAGCTCCAGGGAGTGGGTGATAAAGCATAGGCTCCCCTTGCTCCCCCCAGGCCCCACAGGAGCTGCCACATTTGCCCAAACAATGGCCCAAATTGTTGGACTCAGCGTATTTTCTGGATGGCAAACACCTGGAAGACTTTAGTCTTTTTCCCCACAGCAGATGGACAGTTCCATGAAAAGGCCTTTTACTGCATGAAGCCATCCCTACTGTGTTCGCCTGGGATATGGCTTTCTTTTTCCTCCTGAATTTGTTTTCTGCCCCTAGAAGATCCTCCTTTAATCACAGAATGTTGACAGAACAGGATGAAAGGCTGTTTGTTATCTGGGCCCCACCGTTTTTTAATTAGTCTGCTCCATCGTGCCTTTTAAAGAAAGTAAAGTTGGTTTTCTCTTCCCTCGAGGCTGTCCAGCAGAGAGTTATGTCTCGTATACAGCCCCGTGTTGAGTTGCTCGTGGTGAAAAATGATTGACTCCCCCATAAGAGCAAGAATGACCACGTTGGCAAACAGGAGTCCAGGACAGCTCTTCCCAGCTGGTGTCAAAGGCCAGTCAGTAACCCTAAGCCCAGTGTTTAGCTTCACATGTCAGAGTTGCATGGGGCTTGGTAGCTTTGGAAGACTGAGTCTCCTCCTTCTCTCCTAGAGTTAGTTCATCAAAAATGGAACCTCATTTTCCCAGCAAAGCCGGGTCTTGATTTCCGTATGGTTTCTCTGAAATCCAGAAATTTGGGTGAAGATAGCGTTAAGGCCAAGCCAAAACTCAACCAAAGTGCAACCAAACACAGTAGGGATGGCTTGTCCAGGACACCCATGGCCTCACCGTGTCCCAGCGTGACGGTGAGTGGTCAGAGCTCAGGGCTGCGGATTCTGCACCTCCAGGCTGCTCCTCGGAGCCCAGGGTCACGGCTGCTGCTTCAGAGGCGGACCGAACACAAAGCAGCCACTCCTTCCTCTACACAGAAAAGGGGAAAGACAGCACATTTGTTAGTAAACCTTTGTTTAAGTGAGACATTCATTAGTTAAATACGGGGTCTTGGTATAAAAATGCAAGTGATAAAAATGCAAATGTGACCACTTGTTGGATAGGGAAAGTAGAATGGCCTCTCCCAGGTACTAACAGCCGTAAATGCTTTTCCAGGGCCCACAGTCTGTCACCTACAGATCACCAAGCCGCTTTCTACCTCGCTCTGCAGCTCGCCATCTCCAGACAGGTCAGTTTCTCGAATGTTCCTAACCTGGGTGCACGCTCTGTCTTGATGCAGTTCCTCCAGCGCCTCAGCTTGAGTTAGTAGCTGGTCCTCCACCCAAGGCCGACCTGGACCAGGGGCCCTCCTCCACACAGCGAAGACCCGGGTGCTCTGGTCAGTTTGAGCATCAGCTCTATAGACACAGGCCAGGCTCTGCTTTAGGAGTTTTAGTCCATAGACCTGGAGGGCCCAGCCCGGGGTCGATGGCAGCATGGACACAGCACGTGGCAGACACCTTAAACCCAGGGGTCATTGAAGAGCCCCTGTGACTTGCCAGCAGAGTCCATGCTGAGCTCTCAGCAGGGTGGAGATTGGGGTGGGGCCCGGTTGCCATAAGGTAGGTATCAGGGATTGGCGATGCCAGCAGGCCTAGACAGAAGCACCAACCAGTTCCTTTCAAATATGTGGAGGTCTGAACATTACGCGCGGTGACTCCTGGAGCAGGAGCGTCAGCAGTGTCCTCGGTGGAGGGACAGCCTCGCTGGCCTTCACCCTCCCTGTTGCAGTCTCCAGAAGCCGCCTGTGCCTTCTCGTCCCTTCCTGTCCCCTCCCAGCTGTTCTGGAGGCTCTGGCCGCATGCCCGCCTGCCCACCAGGTGCAAGACACTGGTGGTAACCCCAGCACATTCCGGAGCGCTGACTGGAGGGTAAACGAAAGGTCAGCTCCCCAGACGTGCCATTCTCCTGGCAGGCCCGGCTGCAGGCACGCATCTGACTTCCCGGAGAGGCGGCTCCCTTTGGCGACCTGGGGACTAAGGAAACCAAAGTCCTCGCACCTGGCGTGGGGTGGCTCACAGCTGCAGGCTCGTGATGGCCACCTGGCCCCTCTCCCCCACAGGACCTTCTCTCCCTCCCTCGTGAAGCCTCCTGCCTGCCGCAGCCTGCACGGCCCCTTCCTCTGGCTCAGCTCTCCTGTTTGGTGTCTTTCCCACCTGAGGGGAGGTTCCACGCGGGCAGGAGCCATGGCTGTCATCGTCACCGCTTTGACCCGGCAGCTGGAATGCTGCCTGGCAGGTGGCAGGCACTCGGGAGCACTCGCTGAATGAAGGAGCCAGCCTTGCATTCCTTCAAGTCAGCTGTCCCTGCAGGATGCCATTGTGAACCCTGTCAGTTCGTCCCTGGCTGCTTTGGTCAGACTGCACATTGACACCTGCCTTTCCACCCTCCCCACAGTGCAGGCTGGGCGCTGTTCACACCCCAGTTCTCACCGGGGGATGGACAAGGTCACAGAGCCTTTGTGAGCACACAGCATGACAACCCCAGGCCCCAGCGGCTGAACTTCCTTCTGACCGTGGGTAGGGGCTTGTGGCCTGTTATCTGTAGAGCCAGTGGCTTTGAGCAGGGGGAGAGGGTGGGAGAGGAATCAGAAGATCTAGATGCCACTCTTGTCCCAGAAGTTCAACAGCTGGGTGATCTTGCTCAAGTCGTTTCACCCCTGGACTCAGCTTCCTCCCGTAAACGATGGGTTGGGCAGATGGTCTCCCTTCCAGCTGTGTTAGACATGACTCTGTGGCTCAAAGCAGGAAGCCTCCGTAGCCAACATTTATAATCACATTCATCAAAATGAAGTTGCAGAGGGAAACTAACCGATTTGGGAAAAAGCAAAGTTGTGGCTTCCTACGAAGGAGTAAGGTTTCTGAGGGTTTGAGAAGAAGCAGGAGAGCTGAGAGGGGCCCAGCTAGGGGACTGACGTTGGGAGGGGAGACCGGAGGGGTCCCAGGCCGGCTGTGGAGAAAGCTTCAGGTTGTCATTCTCCCCAGAGACTGCTAAACCTCCATGGAATCTAGGGTGTTCAGTCCTCATCTGTGCATTTTATCAACCATCGTGCTTGGACGATTTTGAAGAAAGTCTTGAACAGCTATTGCATTTTAAGGTTAAGGCTGTGTCCAGTCCCACTTGAGTTTGAATGTGGCATTGAACGTGGCACTGCCATTTGTTTCTTGGATCAGGGTATTTGGGTTGTGATTTGGGAAGGTGTGGGGCGTGTGTGTGTGTGTGTGTGTGTGTGTGTGTGTGTGTGTGTGTGTGTGTGTGTATTTCCCTGATGGAGAACCAGGGCAAAGGGACTTGGCAGGAATCATGGGCGTCTGGTCATTTAGAAAGCTGTTCTAAAGTTCGTGACTTACTAAGCACTTTTATTTCAGTAATACTTTAAAAAGTGAGAACAGTTCAGTTAAGGCTGTTAACTTCCACTAAAAACCTCTGGCAATTGCTATGTGCCTCCATGTAGTAAAATTATCTTGAGCATAATTCAAAGTAGATCAGTTTTGCAGAAAAAGAGAAAGTGTTTACTTAGGGGTATTGGCAGTTACACAGAGAAACAGTATTACTTTGATGATTAGACTATTGCTTGAAGAGAGGGTCTTGTTTTCGTGTTTGTGGCTAATATCCCGGTGCTTTCATAAAGATGGCTTCGTATGTGTGTGTGTGTGTGTGTGTGTGTGTGTGCGCGCGCGCGCGTGTGTTTAAAAATTCTTGTTGGTTTTGTTCTAAACCAGATCCCGGAGGCTCTGGGGTATGTCCGCCAGGCTCTTCAGCTTCAAGGCGATGATGTCAACTCCCTGCACCTGCTCGCCCTCCTGCTGTCGGCCCAGAAGCACTCCCACGACGCACTGAGCATCGTGGACATGGCCCTGAGCGAGTACCCGGAGAACTTCCTGTGAGTGACCCTGGGCTGGCGTTTTCCTTATGCGAAAGCTACTACATGTACTTCTTCCCAACGTCCTTCTCTGAAATCTGACTTCTTCATGGGCACCCTGAGAGTAAATAGTACAAAACCCCTTTTACTCTTTCTTCCCATGATATTTAGAAACACATATACTGTTGACCCTTGATGCAAGGGCTAGGGGTGCCGACCCCCGCAAGGTGGAGGATCTGGGGAGAACTTCTAACGCCCCAGGAGCTTGACGACCTACTGCTGATGGAAGCCTTACCACTAAACATACACAGTGGGTTAGCACATTTTCTATGTGACATGTATTCTGTTACTTCACTCTACAGTAAAGTAAGCTACAGAAAAGAGAATGTTATTTTAAAAATCTTAAGATAAAATACATTTACAGTATTTATTGAAAAAAATCCACATGTAAGTGGACCCACGCAGTACAAACCGTATTGTTCAAGGGTCAGCAGTAGTCTGTTAGGTCGTCCTCGTTAAGTTAAAATACGTGGTCTGTTTTTCTATCATGTACCCTTGGGCACAGGAGAGGATGTTAGATGGGCTGTGGACGAACATTTTTATTTTAATAGCTATGCATTCCTAAATGTACATTAGAAAAATATAACTGCATATCAAAGTGTGATTGTATGGAAATGGTCGCTCGGAGGGAGACTAAGAAATTTTTTCAATGAGTTGCTTTAAAGTCACTTTCAATAAAAATGTTAAGTAAATACTGGTAGGCACACCTGGATACGGCAAACATTGTATTAGACGAACTCCAGTGACTGGAATGCGGGAAAATACAGCTTCAGGGCTTGTTTGTCCTGCGTTAATTCCAGGGTCTCCCTTCCAAGGTGTCAGATGATGGTTATATTTCAGCAACTTCAAACGAGATAGCTGACCTCTTTCTGCCTTGGCTTTATTCTCTAGGAAACAGAATTCCTCAAATCAGTCAATATTTGTACCTCACCTAAGAACTGTCGTTGTAGACTGCTAGATGCTTGAATGGTCTACTTATCGTCATGTTTCCGTAGAATCCCCCCGAACCCAGGCCTGTCGCCGAGTCTTTGCTGAGCAGGACTTTGTCTTTGGGGTCCTGGGCTCCTAGTTTTTCCTCAGGGAGTAGCTTAGTAACAGGTACGCAGTGGCCAGAGACAGGCAACAGCCCTGCGCCTGGCAGGTTCTAACTGTCTAAGGGGCAGGGGCAGGGGCAGGGGCAGGGGCAATGGGGATGGAAGCTGGTGGCCGGGCTGGCTCTCTCCACCTTCAGAAATCAGTGCAGACCCACATTTTAAGTGCATCGCCTTTGGCTTGGTTTCTCTGCCTCATCACCTCACTGTGTTTTTAATCAGAGAGTTTCAGCAGCTCCCCTTGGAAAACCGGTGCACACATTTCCATTACAAACATTTCTTTGTCTCCTAGTGAAAAGAGCACTCTCTTCTCCCCATCCAGAAAATTCTCATTATAACCAGGAAACCTCTGACTAGAGATTTCCTTTGTAGGTTCAGCTATTTATGCAGAGCGAATAAAGGGCTTTGCCGCAGTGTTTACTGCTTGCAGATCTCAGGCTTGCTCTTCTGCATACCGAATACATCTCGGATTTTAGCCGAAGCTGGTTAGCCCATGGCACCGTAAAGTGGTGAAAGCACTTGAAAAAGTCTCCCGTCCTTTACCCGTCGGTAAAGTACAGCCCAATGCAATTAAATTCCGCTTCTCTCATCCATATTTATAAAGCCACCTTCCCGCCTTCATTAGAGCTGAGACTCGCTGTAGGCTCCGGCAGAGATGCCTGGGGGACCTTCCCGGGGAGGGCTTATTAGACCCACAGCCACCCACACAGCAAGCAGTAAACAGTGGCGGCTAATACGGCAGTGCCTGCAAGTGACAGCAGCCGACAGCCTTTCAGGCAGTGTACGGGAGAACGGCAGTAGAGACATTTGAGGAATGCAAGCCTGTTATTTTAATGTTAGGCCGTGAGCTCACAAAAAGCAAGGCATATGTCAGCAGGTCCGGGAGCAGCCACGACTTGTTTGCTTTTTAAATATTTGTATTTCTTCCTCTGTGATGAGAGACTTCTCCCCGAGAAGACTTTATTAAAAGTTGGGCCAGATGTAGTCAGTCGATCCCATGGTCTGTTCCCAGCCTGGGTAAAACATTTCAGCAGCAGCCTACACAAGATCCTGCGGGCACCTGTCATGCGGTGTGACCCGCGTGTTTGTCAGCCGTGTCTCCAGCGGGCTGTGGGTCTCGGAGCGGGATGCCCTGTGTGGTGGGTCCCCCCAGCCATGCCTCCCACAGGCTGAGGCGTAGTGGGTGTGTGCTCAGCACCTGCCGGATGGAGGTGAGCCCCTTTCCCACTGTTCAGCTGTTGAACGGAAAGCAGCTTAGCCAGCCTCTTAGCCTGAGGATGGCAGAACGTTTTGGTCCCTGTTAAGCTTACCCCAGGTCCTTAAACACCAACCTCTATCATGTCCAGTGGCAGTGAGGATGGACACCAGAGAGGCCAGAACTCTCAGGGCATCGAGCTGCCTTCGCCAGTGCACTTAAGGCACTGCAAGCAGTGCCTTCCTTAATTGTAATCACTACATGGTAGTCACTCAATAATTCGTAGGAATTCCTCTTTCTATTACTGATAACAGTGTTTTCAAATACGATATTTTAGAATCTTTTAAAATGGATATTAAATAGTAAGTAGAAGCAAAAAGACTACTTAGTAAATATATTTAAAGCAATAATACAACTGATATATGTATGTATATCCCCTCTTCATTTAAGAAAAAAACATTAATATTGATTTTAATTTGCTGTATACCCCTCTGTCCTAGCCTTACCTCTTACCTCACAGGTTAGCCACCGTTCTGAATTCTGCACTGAACACTATCTTGTGGTTCTATGGCATATATGCTTTACTCCTAAATAACGGAAATTTCTAATTTTGCATGTTTTAAAAAAAATTGTAATGGAATCATACTGAATATATCCTTAAAGTACTTGCTTTTATTGCTTAACATTACGTCCCTGCAGTTCATCCATATTGCACACAGCAGCAATTTACTCATTTATACTGTGAACAGCACCTATTGTAGAAGCTCACCGAGACTTGTCTTTCCAGCCTCCTGTAAGTGGTGTGTGGGTGGTTTTCAGCTATTATGAACAAGGCTGCTGTAAACATTCCCGCACAGGCTCCCTGTGCACGTGTGCGAGCATTGCTTTAGCTGTACACCCACCTTGGAGTGAAATTGTTGGGCTATAGACTATGTGTATCTTCCATTTCACCACATCATTCCAAACTGTTTTCCAAAGCAGTTGTGTCGTTGTGCACTCCCACCAGCAGTGCCTGGGGACCCATGTGGCTCCTTACACCCATACTGGGTGTTGTCAGACTTATTTTTGGCGGTTGTTGGTTAATGGCATCACAGTGTGAGTTTAAGTTGCCTGTCCTTCATAATTAGTGAAATTGAACACCTTTCTGTTTGTTTGTTTATTGGTCATTTCGCTTCTCTCTTTTGTGAAGCACAAGAAGTCTTTTCTGATTGGGTTCTTTTTCATACTAATTTGTAAGATTTCTTTATATATTATGATTACAAGTGCTTTCATTGGTTATATGTGTTGCAAAAATCTTCCAAGCTGTGCTTGTCTTTGCTTTCTCTCACTGATGTCTTTTGATGAACAGAAGTTACCGATTTTAAAGTAGTTGAATCTACCAATCATATCCAAGGATAGTACTCCTGTGACGAGTTAAAACCTTGGCCTCCTCCAGGACCATGAAGGTAGTCTCCCAAGTTATCTTCTGGGAGCTCTCTCATTCTTTTTCACACTTAAAGCTGGGAGTTCATCTGGAATTGGTTGTTTTATGTATGTACTAGAGGCCCGGTGCATGAATTTCGTGCACTTGAGGGCAGGGGGTCCCTCAGCCCGGATTGCAGGGACCCCACTGGTACACAATTGGGGCCGGGGAGGGACAATGGGAGGGTCCCAGGGCGTGTCCGACCCGTCTCACTCAGTCCCAATTGGCCAGACCCCAGCAATAAGCTAACCTATTGGTCAAAGCATCTGCCCCCTAGTGGTCAGTGCACGTCATAGCGAGCAGTTGAGCAGCCTTAGCCTATCATTAGCATATTACACTTTGATTGGTTGAATGGCCGACCAGATGACCGGACATTTAGCATATTAGGCTTTTATTATTTAGGATGATGTGAGGGATCTGATGTAATTTTTCCCATATGGATCCCCAATTCTCCCAGCATCCTGTATTGAAAAGGTTCCCTTCCCTGTTGCTCCACAATGCCATCTTTTCTTACATGTTCATTAGTCATTGCGCCCTTCTCTGTGTGATGACCATTCTTTCATCATTATACCTGAGGTAGGTCTATCCTGTATCTTGCTATCCTCAGGCCTTTGAGTTTCTCAAGTAACACAAAAAAAATTTTGTTGAGATTTTTTTTTTATTGGAATTACTTCAAATCTAATAGCTCACACTGGGGAGAGTTCTCTATGACAGTGGGTCTTCTAATCCATGGTCATTAGAGCTCTAATTATGTAGGACTTTAAAAAATGCTTTTTTTATTTTTTATTTATTTATTTTTATTACAAAGGGTATTACATATGTGTCCATTTCCCCCGCCCCCAGACAGTTCCCTAGCCTCCCCTATTCCCCAGTGTCTTATAAAAAATGCTTTTTAAATGAAGTTTTCTTCATAAAGATTTTGCTCAATTTTTAATTAGATTTATTCCTAGCCACCTGAAAACGATTTCCATGCTCTTCTATTTAAACCTCTATTTCAGAGGTTAAGGATTTTCCTTTCTCCTGGTTTGCTAAAAGTTTTTTTAAATCATGAATTAATATCAAATGTATCAAGTGTTTTTTCTATATTTTTGAGTTAGTTATATAGTTTTTGCTCCTTTAATCTGTGAATATTGTATTAATTGATATTTTAAAATGTTAAATTAACTTACATTCTTGGAATAAGCCCGAGCTGGTCAGGATCTTTTAGCTTTTT